TGATCTTGCCTGTAGTGAGCGTGTGTGTGTTAGTGACCTCCAAAGGGATTGGTCTAGGTGTATAGGAGGGAAGCACACAGTGTTATATTATAATATAGTGTAGAATGTCTTGTATCTTAGTGTGGCGTAAATATAGTATAATGTGCACACTCACATTTATTGGAGCCTTCATATAGTGTATAGCATGGAGTGAAATGATTCCCACTCTTGGATAAGTGTATGCTGTCTAAAAAGAAGTAAAGAAAACATAGTGTTCACTGTTAAATACAATAAAGTGACAGGTGATGAACTCTTTGACTGAGTGACTGAGTGACTGAGTGACAGGGTATTGTGCACATGTTTGTGGTGTGAGTGTGAAGAAGGTGACTGTGTGCGTTTGTGTGGTGACTGTGACAAGGTGACTGTGCGTGTGCTGGTGAGTGGGGGGTGACAGTATGAGTGAGAGGGTGACTGTGTGTGTGTGTGTGTGTGTGTGAAAGGTTGACTGTGTGTGTGTGTGTGTGTGGTGTGAGTGTTTCGTTATTGACAATGATTGGCAGGGTGAGTTGCGGGTCAGATTATGTGTGAGGAGGCTGTATATTATATCTAGTCTTTCCACACATTGCAGATCATTTTTGTAAAAATGTTTTATAGCTGAGACCCCCTTCTGCTTACCATTTATGTAGTGAGGGGGCTCTAATATTCATTTCCTGGTGGTCAGGCAGTTTTCCTGGTGGTCTAATGGGCTGCCAGAGGGATTTGGACCAGTAGATGAGTGCAGACCTCTCTGATGCCCTCCTTCGGTCTCTATAGAGAGTTGCTTTCAACCAAGAGGTGCTTCCTGCAATTATAACGAGTGCAGGGCCATGCAAGGAGCTCTGTAGATCTCCCCACTGGCCTGTGTACCTGGGGAATGGGGGTCTTAGCAACCTAGAATGGAAGGACTGGCTCTTCGGCTATTGTAAACAAAATTTGTTTGAACAAAACTTGTTTGCAATAAGCAAATGTAATTTTCAATGTGAAGAGGTAAATGCACAGATAAAAATCCCAATTTTCATGTTCACACTTGTTAAAAAAAACATATTTTAGGGAATGCATTCAACCTATTAGACCCCAGAAGTCAGTTGTGTTCATGGCATATTTTGAGGTGGCCTGAGGCAAACCACTGTGCCATGGAACACAGGTTTAAAACCATTGCTCTTGAGAACATGTTTCCATGTATAAAGCATTCACAGCTGTAAAATGCTTTCAGCAACTAAGCAGCACATTCTATTTAGAATAGGATTATCTACTATAATATTACAGTAGAAAGTAGAAAGCAGTAGAAAGAGGGAAGTGCTCATGCCATTGTACAGAACACTGGTGAGACCTCACTTGGAGTATTGTACACAGTACTGGAGACCGTATCTTCAGAAGGATATTGATACCTTAGAGAGGGTTCAGAGAAGGGCTAATAAACTGGTTCATGGATTGTGGGATAAAACTTACCAGGAAAGGTTAAAGGATCTTAACATGTATAGCTTGAAGGAAAGACGAGACAGGGGGGATATGATAGAAACATTTAAATACATAAAGGGAATCAACACAGTAAAGGAGGAGACTATATTAAAAAGAAGAAAAACTACCACAACAAGATGACACAGTCTTAAATTAGAGGGACAAAGGTTTAAAAATAATATCAGGAAGCATTACTTTACTGAGAAGGTAGTGGATGTATGGAATAGCCTTCGAGCTGAAGAGGTAGAGGTTTACACAGTGAGGGAGTTTAACCACATAAGGACACATGACATGTGTGACATGTCATGATTCCCTTTTATTCCAGAAGTTTGGTCCTTAAGGGGTTAAGCATGCGTGGGATGCTATCCTAACTATAAGATAAGGCCAGGGACTAATGGAAGTATTTAGAAAATTGGGCAGACTAGATGGGCCGAATGGTTCTTATCTGCCGTCACATTCTATGTTTCTGTAAAGACAGTACTACCAAGAATAACTAGAGTAACAGTTGCTTTTATTTACGAGATTAAAATAAAACACTGATCACAAATGTAATATATCCTCTTTATACCTATAACAGAGACTGTGACCACATATTGTACATATCGCTGTTCTTGAATTGAGGGATCCATCATTAATCCATTGATTCAAGACAGTGCTTCACTACACGCGAGTGCCTTGAATTTAAGACTTGATCAATGTTCCTATTTTACACATCTTTACTTTTGTGATCTATTTTTCCTATTTGATTTTTGTACATCAATGTTTTTTGTTTTTCTTCTTTTTACTTTTTGTTCTTTTTGCAAGGAGACTTCCTTGTCTTAAAAAAATATTTAAACGGAAATGTAAATGTATATCTTCCTTTATAATAATTTCTACTTTTTCTCTTGTTTATTTACATTACAACAATTCAGTAAAAACAATCTGAACTCTATGTTTAATTTATGCAATAAATACATCTACTCTATCTCCCCTCCCTCTCTCTCAGTATCACGCTCTCAGTCTCTCCCCCTCTATCTCTAGCTCTCTCCATCAGTCTCATACTCTCTCCCCCATCTCTAACTCTCCTTTCAAGCTTTCGATCTCTCCCTCTCTCTCCCTCTTCATCTCTCTATCTGTCTCCTGTGGTCTTTTTTTCCCACAATCCCTTGCTCTCTCTATGCCATAAAATAAATCTAACGTTTTTATTATTTTCTCTAACTCTTATATGCCTTCTTTGCATGCTGTCAAAAAAACAAAACAGTGCAGTATCTTTGTAGTTATGTATCCATAAGTCTGTATGTTTTTTCTTTTCATTGCAAAAATAAAGATTTAAAAAAAAAAAAAAATCTAATGTACTGTCAAAAATGACAGTTTATTTTTTGATGCAAATCATACCTGGGCATTCATTATTTAGAATTGGGGCAGGGTAGAGGCTTCAGTTTACAGAAACGGTGATGTTAATTCCATGGAAGTTCAATATTTAAGAAAAATGGTTGACGCAGAATGGCTTAGTTTTTAAAGCGCTTCTAGCCACAGGCCAAATCAAATCTGAAGAATATTTCTCTGTGTACTCTTGTCATTGGTCTGTGACATGAACAAGTTTTTGAAGCATGAATCAAGCACGGGTATGGGAAGCTTGTGGCAGCCCTAGAGGAAGCAGACAGCCAAAGAATAAACAGACTTTGGCTGCCTTGGGTGCCTTAACCCATTCCTGAAAGAATTGTTTTCAAGCATTGGTTCTATAGGCTACTAGAAGCATCTCTAACTTACAGAGACAGGCTATATTAAGACAGTCAATGACTGTATGTATGAACCCCAATCTGTCTTTAGATAAACATAGAAACATAGAAACATAGAATGTGACGGCAGATAAGAACCATTCGGCCCATCTAGTCTGCCCAATTTTCTAAATACTTTCATTAGTCCCTGGCCTTATCTTATAGTTAGGATAGCCTTATGCCTATCCCACGCATGCTTAAACTCCTTTACTGTGTTAACCTCTACCACTTCAGCTGGAAGGCTATTCCATGAATCCACTACCCTCTCAGTAAAGTAATACTTCCTGATATTATTTTTAAACCTTTGTCCCTATAATTTAAGACTATGTCCTCTTGTTGTGGTAGTTTTTCTTCTTTTAAATATAGTCTCCTCCTTAACTGTGTTGATTGTGTAGATGTTAATGTTATAAGTGGTTATCAAACCGGTATTTCCATGATAGAGATATAGTGAGTAAATCATATTTGTGTTACTCTTTTATTTACTTCAGTAAAATTTACTTTTTTTTTTTTAAAATTCTTTATTTTGTTTGTGTAAAGGATTAACAATAACAATATTGCATTTGATGCCACAACAGCGCTTTATGGTTTTCGACAAGGAAATCAGTATGGCTTTGTTTAGACGTGCACATTTTTTAGTAAGTTATTCAAGCGTAGCGTGTCCGCTATAAGAGGACAGTAAAGGTGAACATATTGTACATTGTACAGTTAGTATATTAATTCGTGTGGCAGCTGAGAGCATTCTGAGTTTAGTACAGGGTGATATAACATATTAACCATGTTCAACGCAGTGCTACTATAATTACCAGAGAAAACTTGTGTGTCGTTAGTAGTTCTTATGTGTCTAGGATCCAGTCGTTAGTTGCCGCCGGTATTTGAGAACTTTCTGTGCGTTGGTGGATCCTAGTGTGCGTGAGGGTGATGTGAATTGTGCCCCAGAGCCTTCATGTGTGGTATTAGTGTCAGGCATAGGGCTTAAGTGCGATGAATTTGGGGGTTCTAGTGTTTTTTATTTTTGTGCCCTACTTGCCAGGTGGTTACGTACATGGTACAAGTGTGTTCTATGACCCCTAACCTAGAGGGGGTCGCGGGGGAGGTGAGTGGTGATGGTCATTGTGTGTGCCTTGTTTGCGGTGGTGGTTAGTGTAAGGTGTAGGCTCGCCTCTAGTGGGGGTGTTAACCTTCAGTGTATAGCACCCCGGGGAGAACGTTGTGAAACTGGGAGATGTAGCATAAACATGAGTCATTCAAAAACTCCAACATATTAACTAAACAGGTATGTAAATATTGCGCCTTTGCGCTGTTTGAGTCATGTGGCATCTATCGGGGTGCCTCTCCCTCGGGTTACAAAGTGGACAGTCCTTGTTGGGTCTCAGGTATGAGCTGTGGTGGGTGCATCACGTGTACCAGGTACCGGTGGGAGCCCCAATGCTTGAAGGAATGGGTCCACCTCCTGTATAGAGGTGAGTTTAAGAGTGGTACCATTGCGGTCCACTGACAGGGCTTTAGGTAATGTCCAGTGGTAGGTCATGTTGGCGTCACGTAGGTGGCAGGTCACTGGGCCCAGGGATCTCCTCCACTGAGGTCTGGATCTTGTCAGGTCCTGGTAGAAGGTGAAACTGGCATTTTCAAAGTCCAGCGGTGTTTTGCCTCTTGTAGCGGCATAAATGTTGTTTCTATCCGCTAAGATTTGGCACCGCAGGATCATGTCGCTGTTTGTTACGTGAGGTACCCTTCTCGGTTTGCTGGTGCGAAAGATCCCTGCAAAGGTCAGCTTCTTTGCCTGTGAGGCGTCTGAGGTAATGTGGTAGTGATGGGTATGCCCCTTATTTCTACATTGTTTCTGCGGTTTCTGTCTTCTGCAGCATCCAGTTTGTTGAGCAGAGCAGAATGGGCGGTTTGAAGTTGCATTACTGTTTCTTTAAGGCCTCTCATCTCATGCTGCACGTCTAAAATGGCCTCCTCCGTGGTTTGCACACGGTCTGTCACCGCCTGGACCTCGGTGCGCAGCAAGGCCATGTCCACCGCAGACATCTGTTTCAGCTCTGCCAGGAGGTTTCTGATGTCCAGTTTGGTGGCTGGGATTAGTGCATCAGGGTCCGGCTGAACGTCCATGTGTGACTGTGGGTCTGTGAGTACCCCCGATGGTTGCTCTAATCCTGCAGAGCTGGTGTCCTGTTCAGATATGGCGGCCATCTTTGGTTCCGCTGGGCGCTGCGGCATTGAGCTGATGTCCTTGGCGTTTGTACCTCCGCCTGTGGCTGCTCGTTGTGATCTCCGTCCCATGTTTGCTGGGTCGGTTGTCCCGCTCTCCATCGGTGGCGTGGCGACAAGGATCACCCTGACCTTGCAGCGTATTTTCAGTCGGTCAGTACCGTTTCCCCCTTGCTCTGCTGTATGATTTTCTGGCTGGATCGGCTTGTCCAGATCGGTTAGCCGTTGATTTTTTTCCGGTTTGGCCGGAGCATACACGATTTGCGTCCGCTCAGGTCCGTGGCTAAGCTCCGCCGCCCCCTAAAATGTACTTTTTAAGTACATTCCAGCAATTACCCAATTTGCTGTTATGTACTAAATGTTGTTCTATTAGTATCAGAAATTATACTGGGGCCCCCAATTATACACACCATGATATGTGTGCATATGAATTCTCACACTCAAATGTATACATCACAGACATACACTGCTAGACACACACAGATGCACACAGCCAGTATATTCAATGTGTCCCTTGTACAACAGGAATAACAGTGTTGCTATGAATACTGTGGCCTTTATTGTTGTACAACCGCTAAAACCAGAGAAACCTAAACTATGGTGTCTATTTGTTACAAAACTGACCCTAATGCTTCTTTGCTGCTTTTACCTGTCTTCCTGATTCTGTGTACCTTGGTGTTCCCTAACTTTTTGACCTCTGACTTTGTTATTTGACCCTGCTATTTGCTACTAGGCATGTGCATGGGAAAAATTTTCGGTTCGGTTCAGCATTCCGAAATTCGTGACTTTCGCAATTCGGGACTTCGGCAATTCGGCACTTCAACACTTCGGAACTTCAGCAACATTGGAACTTCGGCACTTCGGAAATTCGGCAACTTCGGCACTTCGACACTTCGAAGTGTTAAAAAAAAAAAATAGGGACCGATTGCCCCCCCGGCCCCCACCCCTGAGCGGTGGGTGGGGGCCCTAAATACTAATAAGGGGGGGACCTAATGTCCTCCCCACTGGCCCCCACCCCTGAGCGGTGGGTGGGGGCCCTAAATACTAATAAGGGGGTCCTAATGTTCTCCCCCCTGGCCCCCACCCCTGAGTGGCAGGTGGAGGCCCTACAGTAAAATAAGGGGGGGGACCTAATGTCCTCCTCCCTTGCCCCAACCCCTGAGCGGTGGGTGGGGGCCTTAAATACTAATAAGGGGGGACCTAATGTCCTCCCCCCTGGCCCCCACCCCTGAGCGGCGGGTGGGGGCCCTAAATTGGAATAAGTGGGGGACCTAATGTCCTCACCCCTGGCCCGCACCCCTGAGCGGTGGGTGGGGGCCCTAAATACTAATAAGGGGGGGGACCTAATGTCCTCCCCTCTGGCCCCCACCCCTGAGCGGGGGAGAGCCCTAAAAAAATGTTATCCCCCACCCCACCAGGTGACTAGGGGTCCCCAAATCCCTAGTCACCCCTCCCCCCCAACAAAAAAAAAACCCTTCCTACCCCTCTCACCCTAAAAATAATGAGGGGGGGACCTTTAACTAAGTACCTGTAAAAAAAATAAAACTTACCATTCGATGTTTTCTTCTAAAATCTTTTTTCAGCCCCAAAAAAGGACGAATAAAAATCCATAATAACCGACGCACTTAAAAAAAAAACCAAAAAAACATTGAATGGTAAGTTTTATTTTTTTTACAGGAACTTAGGTCCCCACCTCATTATTTTTAGGCTGAGGGGGGTAGGTAGGGGGTTAATTTTTTTTGGGGGGGTCACTAGGGGTTTGGGGACCCCTAGTCACCTGGGGGGTGTAACATTTTTATTTAGGGCCCCCACCTACCACTCAGGGGTGGGGGCTGGGGGGAGGACAATAGGTCCCCCCCCATTGGTATTTTGGGCTCCTCCCTAATTAGTATTTAAGGCCCCCACCTGCCGCTCAGGGGTTGGGGCCAGGGGGAGGACATTAGGTCCCCCCCTTATTAATATTTAGGGCCCCCACCCGCTGCTCAGGGTTGGGAGCCAGGGAGGAGGCCCTTGGGTTCCCCTTCTTAGTACTTAGGGCCCCCACCCGCCGCTCAGAGGTGGGGGTCAGGGAGGAGGATATTAGGTCTCCCCCTTATTTGTATTTAGGGCCCCCATCCACCGCTCAGGGGTGGGGGCCAGGGGGAGGACATTAGGTCCCCCCCTTATTTTACTATAGGGCCAGGGGTGGGGCCAGGGGGGAAGACACTAGGTCTCCCCCCCTTATTAGTATTTAGGGCCCCCACCCACCGCTCAGGGGTGGGGGCTAGGGGGGAGGACATTAAGTCCCCCCCTTATTTTACTGTAGGGCCCCCACCCACCGTTCAGGGATGGGGGCAATAGGTCGCAGCACGGGTGGGGGCTCGGGAGGGGGGGGGACTTTTTTTTTCTTATTTTTTCAAGTGAGCAGCCATAGGTTGCGCACTGTTTAATAGACATGACCCTACTCGCAGTATAGCGAGTAGGGGCATAATTTACTAATACTAAGTAATTTTTACTTAGTATTAGTAAATTTGGCTGAAAGACCAATTTAGGTATTTCAGCCTTTTAGTAGATAGCTCCCTAATACCATGGGAATTAGGGAGTTATCTACTTATTCATTCCTGTAATTACACTGACTGGCTAAGTAACTTACATTTTATATGAATGTATGTTACTTGATTGTTGTAAGTGTTGCAAATGCTTACAGCTGAATCCTGGCTTTGTTTGTATACTTTTTATTTAAAATTGGATACAGTGTAACATTCTTCATTCTTTCACTGGATAAATATATTAGTTCTTAGGCAATACTGTGCTTCGGCACTTCAGCACTTCGATACTACGGAACTTAAGCAACTTCGGCACTTCAGCACTTCGGAACATCGGCACTTTGGAAATTCGACACTTCGGAAATTCGGTAATTTCGGAATTACGGGACTTCAACCATTCGGCAATTCGGCAATTCATCTATTCGGACACTCGGAAGTACCTGAATGTCTGAATTGCCCGAAATTTGAAACGAAATGCACATGTCTACTTGCTACCTGCTCTGACCTTTGGATCTGTTTGCCATTACTGAACTTTTACTGCTGGTCCTGACCTATGGAACTATTGACTCCACTTTCTATCTCTACTTTTGGCACGTAGCCTTGGATTGGCATCTGTCCACTATACCAGCCTGTTGTGTCATACATCAAACTACTTGGGTTGTGTTTGTCTTTGTGGCTATACCTTCTTACTCAACGGTTTAATTATACATTATCACTGTTTGCAATTCAAACAAAATAAAAAAAAAATACATTATATATATAGATATAGTTTGTGAGACAATTTCTTTAATCTCAAAAGAATGTCTCTCTCACACCCACCTGATGCAAGTCTTGTAGGTCCAAAAAAAAAGTTGGGTTTCCAGACCCCCAATTAACTAGGGGTCTTTGCAGTTATCTCTTTCTCTTCTATGACCATGGATACCAGGGATGAAGAGAAGGGATTACTGGTTAGAGGCCCAGGAAATGTTCCTATCCATTCTTCCTGTGAGTGTAGTCATTCTTTTTAGTCCATTAATTCTACCACGGTAACAATTATTATTATTATTTTATTATTTATATAGCGCCATCAGATTCCATAGCGCTGTACAATGGGATAAATGTTACAGTAATCTAGTTGCAGTCTTTTGTAACAGACTTCTAAAATAAAGGCCAGCACATGACAATATTATGAAGAGCAATACTTTAAAGTAATGTTTTCCTACAGAGCCAACATCAGTTAAGTGGAAAATTGTCTACAACATTTAAATACCTGCTCAGTCACTGGCAGAATAGTATATAACTTATAGACTGACAATGGCCTCAATTTAATATTTTGGATAAACTTAAAAAATATTTTTCTGAAATATTAAAATATAAAAACTATATCGCATATAAAAAAATCTAGCAATATATAAAAAAATATTCAAATATTTTCCATAGCATTTAAATAATTTTTAAAAGTTTATCAAAAAAATATCAAATCATTTGAAATGCTTAAGAAAAGAAAAAGTTACCTGCGCTCTCTCCTTAATCCATAGGGATCCATAGGGATTAAGGAGAGAGCGCAGGTAACTTTTTCTTTTCTTTGGTTTTTACTAAATATTGGGGATGATGTGTACTGTAGTCATTGCTGCCGGCCCAGTAGTGATGGGAGTGAGCGCATGACTTCTTTTTGTATTTGTATTTATTTTGTATTGTTACAATGCTGCCGCCCATCCCATGTGTTCCCTATTAAGGGTTAATAAGTATTTAGGGGTGTATGTAAAAAATACCCCTCTCTGTCTCATTAGAGATATCTTTTCCAGAAGCTCAAGGAAGCAGGCTGAAGGGTCAGTGTTAGGACCCGCTTAGGGGGATCTGCATTGACGTTGGCAGGCAGACATTCCCTCCAATGGCCATTGGAGCAAATGACCTCCATTTGTCTAAATATACATATAGATTAAGGAGAGAGTGCAGGTAACTTTTTCTTTTCTTTGGTTTTTACTATATATTGGGGCTGATGTGTACTGTAGTCATTGCTGCCGGCCTAGTAGTGATGGGAGTGAGCACAGGACTTCTTTTTGTATTTGCATTTGAAATACTTATCCAAATATATTAGATCATGGCCGATATCTTGAATGGCCTTGATGTAACACCTTACGGATGTATAGATAGTATTAAGTCTAATTAAAATGCATCTGTCATAAAAAAAAAAAACTATATGGTGGCATGGTGTTAGTGTACTGAGAATACAATTTCACCTGTACAATTTAGTAGTCATAGTCTTAAAAAATTCAAATATTTAATTTTATTTTCGCTCTCTTGCCTTCAAGCAGGTCACTTATCAACCTACTGTTCCTGTAACATTTTGTAATTGTCCCATTTATTGTTAAATTTCCCCCCTTTATAATATTGTATATTGCTGCAGAATAATTTGGCGCTATATAAATGCCAAAAATCATAATAATATTATTATTAATAATAATATACAAAGTGTCTAACAATATGGCAACCTTTGGAATTATTATTATTATTTTTTTATTTAGCGCCAACAAATTCCATTGCGGTTTACAATGGGTGGACTAACAACCATGTAATTGTAATCACACAAGTTTAAAGCACAGGAACAGAGTGGTTGAGGGCCCTGCTCAATGAGCTTACATGCTAGAGGGAGTGGGGTAAAGAGGAATCAGTTGGGAGCCATTAACAGTTTATTTGATACCCTTTTGTGAAAAAGCTAGGATTTTAATGATTTTTTTAAGGAGTGGAGACTAGGTGAGTGTGTAACAGAAAAGGGAAA